ACTCTTCTTTCAATAAAAATTTACGATAAGCATTTTTTCAAAAATAAACCCATCTCATCTACACAGAATATTCTCCACCTACAATCATTTTGGACAACAAGGAAATAAATTCTTTCGGAGGATTGCCATCTGGCAATTCTCCGCTGAATTTAATATTATGTAAAGAATATCTCATTTTAAATTTGTTGAACCAGTCACTACTTGAAATACTATTAGGTTATCTGGAAAATAATGCAGGTTTTAACCTATATCTTTGAAGTATCATAACTCAACTGAAAACAATTTTATTAGTCAACGTAAACACCAGCCGAATCAATGCATTTTTGCAAATGACATATAAGTTTATTTATGCCAGTAGAATAAAATTCTGGAGTTCTGGATGCGATAAAGTTGTCAAAGGCGTTTTGGGCCTCATCTTGGTTTCTGAAGCATTTTTTCTGCAGAATGTTATCTAGATGTTTGAAAAAGTGTTAATCGGTCAGCGAGAGGTCAGGCGAATATGGGGGAAAAGGGAGAATCTCGTATTCCAATTCGTTCAATTTCTGTAGGGTCAGTTGCACGACGTGCAGCTGAGCATCGTCGTGGGGCCTCTTTCTGTTGACCAAATGCCAAGCACATGCGGTGCAATTTTTTGTGCATTTCGTCGATTTACAGGCAGTACTTATCTGCCGTAATCATTTCGCCCAGATTTAGGAAGCTGTGGTGGATGAGACCGACCGCAGACCACCAAACAGTCACCATAATTTTCTTTTGGTGCAAATTTAGCTTTGGAAAGTGTTGTGATGTCTGACTGAGGTCCAACCATTGAGCCGAATGTTGCCAGTTATTATAGAGAATCCACTTTTCATCGCACATAACAATTCAATCAAGAAAAGGGTTGTTTTTGTTGCGGAAAAGAGCAAATGACATTTCAAAACAGCACTTCAAAATGGTTTTAAAAAAATTTATTTTCGCTCAATTCGTGAGGCACCCACTTATCGAGTGCTTCTTTGATTTTCCTATATGATTCAAGTGATCAGAACTCGTTTTGCTTTTTGTTTAATCTCCTCCGTAAGCTCTCGAACAGCTGCTGTTCACAAGTCTGTTTCAACTTAAGTCTTCAAATTGTCGTCATCAACAGCTGAAAAGAGCATCCACGATGCTCTTGATCTTCCAGGTGAAATTCTTCCATGACGAAACTTTTGAATACCACTGTTGAACTGTAGATTCATTAACACTTTTCTCGCACCATACTTTGTGGACATTTCGAAGCCGTTTGTGCTGGGCTGGTGGCCTAGCTTGTACTCATAAAAGTAAATTTGCCGAAAATCCCATTTTGACATCAAAACAAAAACACCTAGTAAATATTTTTAAAAATAATTTGGAACAAAATGATTATTATAGAAATATAGAGCGAAAACAGAGCTTCAAAATGATATATAAACCAATATAATTCAAAATAGTTTTGTTGCTAAAAATGTACAGGAAAGATAAAGACTTGCAAAAACCTGCATTATTTTCTGGACAATCCGATATTTTAATCTAGTCTTTCATTCTTCATGCAAACTAACAGTCTTAGCTTGAATAATGGAAAAACTCAGAGACATAATTTTGATGCTGATCATCAATCAATGATGATAAAGATCTTTTCATTTCATTTGTCACTATGTTGTGTCCTTTGAAAGCAATCTTTGTACATATATTTCCACAATTTTGAACGCATTCCTAATTTTGCAGTTATTTTTCAAAATTGAACATACTGTAGATCTATTTATATCATACAAAGGTTCGATTGAAGAAAAGATTCATAGTTTTCAGAACGTTTAATTATTTCCATCTTATTCTTAATCACATGAAGACATAATTTCTTTTTGTTCATATCAACACTGCAGTTTCTCCATTTCCCACTCATGTTTATAAGAACAAAATATTTAAACATAAAGAAATAAACTGGCAAAACACAAAACATGTTGATACATGCCCAAATGAAAGACTGAAACTGTTTGAATTACGATTCCAAGAAATCCACTGTTGTAGGAAGTAATGTGCGTCTGTGACATATGTTACCCCACCTCTACTCTCGTCACAGTCACGAATGCCTCCTGCTGAGAGTAAGGATAAAGAAACAATTAAAGTGTGAGCAAATTTTTTTCATTTGACAAAAATCTTTAAAAAACTGAATTTTTAAAAATGTGTAATGTGATGAACTGTGCAAAAATCGATGATCGTCTGTATTCATCTGTATTGTTGTATTTCTGATCGTTAATATTGTTGAAAATCTTCTACAATGCTTGGTGTACCTTATTTATGACAGCTTCCCTACAAATTTCTTTTAATAGTTTTTAAAGAAAAAATTAGCTCTATAGCATAGATTTTTGAGATCAAAAGAATTTTTCACAAAACTCCCAATTTCTCATATGAGTGAAAATTTTTTAAACCTGGTGTTATTCTTATTTTTTTTTAACTACAGTAATTTCCTCAATTGGTTTTATTCACATCACATTATCTAAGGAATTAAATACCCCATTAGGCAAAACATGAAATTAATTCAATTGTATTCGAGTTCAAAAGATCAAAAATTTCTGCAGGGCGAGCATTGATTAAAATAAGATTTTAGAAAATTCAGGAATGGCATGCAACTCCAGCAAACAAACTGCTGCATTCAGATATTAGTTTCAGATTGCCTTTGATAACTATTACACTGCAACATTGACCAAACATAGTTACCAGGCAAATGAACCATCAGTTCAAGCAAAGATAGTCACAAAAGGAAAGTTTGTATCTTTCAATACTAACAAGGCAAGTCTTCCAACCTTGAACTCTCAATTTTTCTGAAGGGACTATCTACAAATCTACTCATCTAGAAATAATAAGCAGAGCAGATTTCAATATTCTGGTTATTTTTAATTGTGTGTATGCGAAAGAGAGAATCTCTAACAGCAGGACCGATTGTTTTCTCACAATGCTCCTATTTTAAAGAATCCAACAACACAAAATTGTGTGTGTGTGGGGGGGGGGCAAACCTTATTCAATTCAGATCTATGGCTGATAACAGACTTTTTGAACTAACATGACATTTCAAATAATTTAATATTTCTAACAATTCTGAATTAAAGCTTGAAACAAATCTCAACTTAAGTTGTCAATATTCATTATAAGAGTATTTTTCAAAAATGCAAATTAATTGTGAAAATTACATTTTCAGAAGACACAGAAATAATTTTAATGTTAAGATTTAAAACAACATTATTATGTCACGTTCACTTAAGAAAATTCAGTGTTTCCATTAATCTATGCAATAGCAAATACATGGAAATCTTCTTTTGTTACTGGTGAGTACCACAATCACAGAACCCATAAAAATTTATAATTTTTCAGAAACTGATACAGTTCTCATGCTAGTGCTAGAAAGATGAACAATTTTAAAACTATTTTCCAACATAAAAAGCATTGAAATAAAAGGCCATTACAAGTTTCATTTTCTTAAATGTAAATCATGGGTCTATTATTCCACCTGGAAATTTTCTCAAAATAAGATAGTGTTTTATGAAAACCATTTCAATTCTGTGGTGGAAAGGTACGTAAACATAGAATCTAACATTATCAGTTGAGCAAATACTTTTATTTAAAATACTCATAACTTTGCAGTTTTCCATTATTAATATTTTCATAGTACCAGCTACAAATTAAAAAAATTCTGTTTTATGCATATGCAGCACAAATAATCTTTAAAACGAGCAAGGCTTCTATGATTTAAAACAATTCTGGTTGACTTGTTTGTAAATATATTCTTGCTACAATTCAGCATGACTTGGTTTATTTATAGCTAAAAAAGTCAAATGGTAACTAGCATTCAAAAGTTATCTAAGTCATGTCTTTACAAATTTTGCATAGAACCTATTTAAATATATTAAGTATTTTACTGACTTGAATTTTTAATTTCTGAGAACTATAAGAACTTGCTCATTGACTGTATGATTTTTTAAAAATTCTCTATCTTCAGAAACTCTGTAAATAGAAGTTCATGTTTTAAATCAATATTTTGATTAATACCTCATTTGTGGACATTTCTTTAACTGGATATTAAGGACTTTTAAGAACCACTAACCCCCAAAAACTTAAGGCTCTATTAGCAAATAGAATTCAATTAATTAAAAGAGAACTACAATATCATTCTTAAGAATAAAACAGAAGTATATAGGTTTCATTATTATAAAAACAAGCTAATATTTAACATAACTGTATAAACAACTTTGAAGACACTGCTCTGATGATTTAGTGGAACTAACTTCTACAGTCTTGGGCCTCGGTTTGAATCCTGGAGAAGGCATAAACATTAATGAGTGTTAAGTATCTCTGCGCTATGGGGCATTTAAAATATTGCCAAGGTGGGAGATACCTGGATTCAATCCGCAGGGATCTTTATCTTTTTTAAATTCTTCCTCAAAATTTGGACAGAACTATTTTTTTCTTGTGCAGTAATAGTCTCAAGGATGAGATGGCTAAATGAATATTCCCAACATATGCAAGTGTCTAACAATTTTAAACAATAAGTTTGAAAATAAAACAACAATACATATTTTCAAGTAATCAAATTATGATTATAATTTTTAAAATACCTATATTTTGCAGTAATAACAGTCACACATATAGATTTTAGATGGTCATTATTAAAAAATCTTTATTTTTTAAAATTACCCATTAAAAAAGCACTCTTATCACAATTTAAGGAAACTTTGAAATTTAAAATAACAGTATAATTTCACTATTATGTTGAGTTTAAAAGTTACATCTCTTTCCTTCTTTTTAATTACATTTCTAAATTTATTTGCATTAAGAAACAAATAAATGTTTCAACTAGCCTCTGTATCACTTGCATATTTAACATCTTTAACAATACCCTTTTGCCTTAGGTAATCAACTTCTATGGTTCTTCTTCTTCTCTTGTTCACTGAATTTTATGATTAAAAAAAAAAAAAAAAGCATGCATTTAGAATGAGTAAATCTTATCTTTTTAATAATTTCAGTACTGAGACAAAAAATGATCATCTCCATAAACTTTCACTACAGATGAAAACTTGCAGAATAACTTTACTATCCAGACTAATATGATGAAAATGAAAGTTAAAATACAATGACTAAAGTCTATACAATAAAAAATTCTATTTACAATAGTTATGAAATATTTTTGTACAAATGTTATTAAGTAAAATAAAAGTTACAAAATACTTTCTCATCACTTAATCCAATTCAACAATTTGCAACATTTCAGATGGTAAAATTTCAGTTTCAATATCAATGACAGGAACACTGTTTGAAGATGCAGGTGAAATGCCACGAGACCTTGCAGATGAGCGAGACGGTATGGTCCTTCTAGTCCTGCCAGAAGAAGTATTCTTTCTAGGTGATTTACGCCCTTTAGCACGAGTCTGTATGTGATTCTCCTCACTTATGATTTTAACATCTATGCAACTGCCATCCTCAATTTCTAGATCACCAGGTGTGCTTGAACCATTGATCTTCTCCCCGTCAAATTCAAATATTAAATTTTTCACGGTAGTTCCAAATTTTTCGGCATATCTTTCCATAAAATCTTGCATTTTTTCTAGCTAAAACGAAAAATGATTAAATTAAAACCTTGGTGGATTTATTATTATGAATCCAAACATTGAAACTGAAAATTTTGTACAAGGAAATTCAACACTTTTGACACTTAAAGGCAACTGGGAGAGGGAAAGAGATCAGTTTTCAGAAAGTTATATATAAAACTTGAAAACTTATTAAATATTTAAATTTTTGTATTTACAAGTGAATAGTAAATATAACAGTTTTTTTTTTTTTTAATACATACAGCAAACCCTAACAGACGTGAATTTGAGGAATGCAATTTTACATATACCTGTTATCTTAAATGTTTCTATTTAATTTGTCCAATGTTAGAATTTTATTCACATGCAGTTCAATGTTCATTCATTAGCAATGGATGCTTGTTGGCATCAGCTCTAGCCAGAATTAACAATAATTTTAAAGAAATTCCACTGATTGAAAATGAAGCCAAAGAAATCATACAAACTGCAAAAGCAAATGCCAAAAAAGGATTTTCAGATATGCAAGACATCAAAAAAATTAGAACGAAGAACTGTATGGTATAACCAATAAATACTAAAAGTGATAATGCTAACACCAATCAATACTAAAAGTGATAATGCTAACACCAATCAATACTAAAAGTGATAATGAAGATGATAAAGCACCTTTAAGTTACAAGAATTTAAACGCATTGTTAATAAACACGTAGGAACTGTCTGGTTTTGCAGTGAAGACTGTAATGAAAAAAGAGGAGGACATTCTGATAATGGCACTGAAAAATTTGCATTAGCGTTGAATGCTTAGTAGTTAAAAGTGAATGATAATTTTAAAAGTTTGCCATCAATTGAATATGAAGCCAATGAAATCATACAAACTGCAAAAGCAAATGGCAGCAAAGAATATGGAAGTAGTGAAAAAATTAGAATGAAGAATTGGATGTTCTTAAAACACCAACAAATAGTAAAAGCTGTGATAATGAAGATGATAAAGCACCTTTAAAAAATGCATAGGAACTGTCTGATTTTGCTTAAAGATTGATTTAAATGAAGAAAGAGGAGGACACTCTGATAAAGGGCATTGAAAAATCTGCATGCTTTACTGTGAAACTTTAAAAAAAAAATCTCTCATGCTCATTGAAAAATCTGCATGCTTTACTGTGAAACTTTAAAAAAGTTGTGTCAATCATTTTCACAAAAAACATCAGCTCCCCCCCCCAAAAAAAAATCAAGTACTCACTAAGCAGTAATAAAAATATTTTCAGTTACCCTTTCTTTTGTACTTTCCTCTTAATTACAGTAATATTTAAATATAATTTCTTAATCTGAATTATTCTCAACACGTTTCTCTTCGAAAGTGAAGTTAACTTAGCAGAACATGATTTTACTGTTTTCATAACATATTAATGATGTAACTCCTATGTTCAGCAAGGGTTTATTGTAATTAAAATATTCTATTGCAAGAAATTTCTACACATTTGCATTACAGTCTATAAGTCATCAAAAAATTTACCTTATGAACATGCATATCTGTTTTTTTACCATCACTTGCTTGTATTCTTATGTGAATACGATTAAGATTATCAGCAACTTCTTTGCCTGCCTGAGGTTTGTAAGGGATGCAATCTAAAAATAATTTAAATCAATCTTAAAACTGCCTCACTCATATAAAAATTTTTAAAACATTATTCTAATTAAATTTACTTTTCTTCAGATTTAAGATTCACATGTTTGACATATAGCAGTGCTGCTGTATTTGTAGTAATACTTGTATGTTCCAAGACCTCTAGTGGATAGCAATATAGCAACTGTTATAATTAATGTGATTAACATGTGACATACATATGACAAGACACCTACATTAAATTAATACCAACAATGAAGTAAAATAATCTGTGTATTACTTTATATGCTGCACTACTATATTAAGCAATGCAAATTACAGTATACACAATAACACTCTCTCTAAACCTAATTTTTGAAATAGAATGGAAAATTGCAGTACCTTCAATGCAGTTTAAATCAGTGGTTCTCAAACATGGAGGAATTTCATAGTTTCAGTGAGGAGCAGAGGAATGGGATCAGCCTTTTATTTAGCTATTAAGAGCTTAGTTTTAGTTTATGAATATAAAAGACCACTTTTATTCAAATTTTGGCATTTACCAATACCTTCTATAGCTTTTTGTTCTATTTATATAACATGTTATAAAATAAACTAAATCCCAGTAAATGCATATATGTAATTTTCAAGTTTTGGTAAGGAGTGGAAGAGGTAATCTTCTAGCAATAGTAAAAACATTGCATGAGGCTAACATGTTTGAGAACCATCGATTAAAATACACCATGCAGTACAACATACAATATTAAAAACTAAAGATTGTTCTTACAAAAAATGACAACTTTAACTTTTATTTCCCTTTATATTACTTTTATCTCCCTTATTTCAGTCATCAACAGAATTTCCCCTTTTCCATATACTGATGAAATTATGCCATAGTTTCTCTAAGGAAATAATAACAACATCATTACTGTTACACTTTACCCCCATTATTACAGTAATTAAGAATGTTCCAAATATGAAAAAACTGACAATATGACAATAACAAAATTAGGAAGAATTCTGGAAATAGAATGGTGACACATAAGGTGTGAAGTATGACTACAAGAATACAAATAGAGGACTCAAATGTTGCTTGACCACAAATAACAATGCTTCTCTTAGCCATATATTTACATTTATTCATCCAAAAGGACTCTTAACCAAGAAATCTGCATGTTTGTAAGGCAGTTTTAGAGCACATGCAAGGCTTCACAAGGACTATTTCCAGCTTCATAGTTGATTATTTCAGTCTGAAGTTATATGCAGGTGTTCATGGTCAAGGCAATTTCCAAATGTGCAATGCCACATGATTGTATGAAGCCTATATAGAATGTAATGTCCCGAGAGAAACTTCCTCCTTAATCTTGACATCACTCTGTGATCCAAATATAAACATTGGTGGCAAAGTCAGTGACACTCATACAATAGTACAGAATAAGTAGAATAACAGTTCTGAATGCATAAACTATAAAAAAATATCAATATATATTTTTGCTTTAATATACATAAAATATGACAATTTTCCAAACAAATTTTTATAGTCTTTTTTACAAAAGAAATTTACATGCTTGGAGTTAATTTATTACCTGCCTATTTCATCAATGACAGCTATATTAAATACAAATTCTTCCTATTATTACTATCTTGGGAATCGATAATTAATTATGAAGATCTAATTAGATGCAAAAATTTCAAACTTATTAAATTTTTACAAAACAAATTAACAACATTTATTTCATCTGAACTTCCAAGCTACATACTTGCGTATCCCCGAATGTTCGACAAATGACTGCCCTTGCTTTATGAGGATCTTAGAAAAGAAAGTTTATACTCTGTAATCAGGTGCTGCCATCTCTCGGCTGTGCTCGGATTAAATTGGTAGGATGTTTTTTAAAGGCTTTTTCAAATAGAATAAACCACAACAAGAGTATCCCCCTCCCCAGTGAACAACAGTATTTACACAAAACTATCATAAACAAGAGGGAATTTGAATGCTGGCTTGTCAGTTGCTGAAATCACTTATATACATGAAATTACATAAAAATATAAAACAAAATAAAGGAATACAGGTTGAATATAATTGACATAAATAAATGAATATAAGAGTTTTTTAAATTCTGAAATTTTGTAGAGAATAAACGTATGAACATTGAAAACAAAACGTAATGAACACTGAAGAGGAAACAACTCATGAATAATTATGAGCAAGTTAACCAATTTCTGTGATGAGTCTCTTGCTAAATTTCACAACTCTTCCCGATTTTGTAATTTTGGAATGGTTGACAGTTTCCATTAGTGTTTTCTGGGACTTTAAGATTCATGCTCATGAGGAATTTGTTATATCTCATCATTATATATGAATGCAAGTTTCACTCTATTTATGGAAACACTGTTTTGTCTGCCATTTATGGATATTTTTATTACTTTATGGGAACCTGTATATGGTTGAGTGAGGGGTGGTGTTATTTTGTCCAACCGAAGAAAATCATGAGCACACTTTTTACTTCCTTGTACGAAGTAGAAAGGAAATATTGTAATCGCGAAAAGTTTCAGGCAGCATATTTCAACAAAAATATTCATTTTGACCGCTATTGAATGCAATTTAGCGATGTTTATGTGTGATATCTGTACGTAAGGACAGAATAAAATACTCTTTTCCTCCAAAAAAATTATAAAACCGCTTTAAAATGAATTCTGAAGAGAATTTTTCATGGCGTCTGTACGAACACATGTACGCATCTCGCATAACTCAAAAACGAGTAGCCTCAGATCATTGAAATTTTGTATATAGGACTGCTTTAACATGTAGATGTGCACCTCGTATTTTGGTTGCAATCAGCCGCACCAATTTTAAAGTTGCTTAAGTGCCGCTAAGCCTAATAATTTTTTTGATGGCGGCCATTGCTTATTTACATTTGAAACAGCAGGATAGTGGATTTGTTGCCAATCTAGAGAAACTTAACTTTGTAACAACAAAGATAATGCCTTAATTTACTATTGCGAATTAATCATGCTTAATCCTTTCTGGAATTTTTTCAAGGAAATAAGTATTTAAGATTTACTTCGTAATTTTTAACACAGATACTTTGAGTTTTTATGTATTTTTGCTTTGTCGCGAAGTGAGAACTGAATTAATTGAATGAGAAATACTCAATCATCTGTGAAAAACTGTTTCATTTTAGTTTTGTCTGCTTAAATTCTTTTATACATCGTTCTAGATTTATTATAGTATTTGAATAGAACATGTGGCAACGATTAGATAATTCTTTAAATGATATAAATTTTGTGCATTCTGAGTTATAATATGGAGAATTAACGTTATGACTAGCGCCGAGTGCCAGGTAAAAATAGTTTTAAGATGATTTTTGTGTTATGCTTTACTTCATCCATATTAATAATCAAAAAATCATAATTTATATCTTCAGGAACCGGTTACTCTTTTTTCTCGGGGCATAAATTTTTTTGGGATTTGGTTGGGAAATGGCTTTAACTGCTGCATTTGTGCCTGGAGTTTCTGCACATACTCATAAGATGGAGTTGTATTTTGGGCACTTTGGGAAAATAAATCTGCTGGAAGTCTTAGTGAAGTTCCATACACAAGATCAGCACTTGATGCTTGTATGTCTGTTTTAACAGCAGCTCGAATGCCAAGGAGAACTGTTGGTAATGATTCAGTCCATCTTGGGTTTTCATGGGCTTTTAAAGAATTTTTCAAGACTCTGTGAAAACGTTCTACTAAGCCATTTGCTTGGGGATGAAAGGCTGTAGTACGAATTCTTCTTGTTCCCATAATTTGTGTGAGCTCACTGAACAGAGGTGACTCAAACTGGCGACCCTGATCTGTGGTGATGGTAGATGGGCATCCAAAGCGGGATATCCATCCTTCGAACAAGGCTCTGCATGCTGTTGCTGCTGTCATATCAGCGATGGGTATCACTTCAGGCCATCTGGTGAACCTGTCGATGATGGTGAGGCAGTACATTTTGCCCTCTGAAGGAGGCAAGGGTCCGATTAAATCCACATGCAGATGAGAAAATCGTGCGTCTGGTGTAGCAAATGTACCCAGAGGTGTTTTTGTGTGTTTGTGAACTTTGGATCGCTGGCATGCATCACAACTTTTTACCCAGTCTTTAATATTCTTTTTCATATTGGGCCAAACATAGCGAGCAGAAATTAATTTGCAAGATCCTGTTGTTCCTGGATGCGAGAGGTTCTGAAAATGGTCAAACACTATTTTACGAAAAGATGCTGGCACAATAGGTCTTGGAATTCCGGTTGATACATCACAGATGAGTTCTGTTGCTGACACTGGGCTGGGCATGGACTTTATTTCTAGTGAATGATTGCTGTTTTGCAGATTTTGTAAATCATCAGCTTTCTGAGCGTGACTAAAGGCTTCAAAATCAAGAAATGAGGAATTTGAGATGTTGTTTATCTCAATTCTGGATAATGCATCTGCAACGCTATTATTAACACCACTGGTATGACGAATGTCAGTGCTAAACTGAGAAATGAAATCAAGTCGACGCCATTGGCGCGGACTGCACTTCTCTGAATTTTGCTTAAAGGCGTAGATAAGAGGCTTTTGATCAGTGAAAATGATAAAGTTCCGACCTTCGAGCATGTGCCGGAATCTCTTCACCGCAGTGTAAATGGCCAATAGTTCTCGATCATAGGTGGAGAATTTTTGTTGACTGTTGGTGAGCTTAACAGAGAAGAATGCAATCGGTTCCCAGTTGGTTGTGTTGAGTTGCATCAAGGAACCATCAACTGCCAGGTCACTGGCATCAACCCAAACACTAAGTTTGGCTCCTGGAATTGGGTGACGAAGAAGAGTTGCGGTAGCTAGTGAATTTTTGGCATCTGTAAATGCCTGTTCGCTAGCCTCAGACCATTGAAGTGTTTCTTTGGGATCGTTTTGTTTAGGTTTTCTGCTCTTTTTATTATTTTTGATACCTTCTGAAAATTTATTTAAGGGTGCTAATATGTGTGCTGCTCTAGGAACGAAACGTCTATAGAAATTGAA